CCCCCTGGCTTTGTTTCGTGGCCCCGTTGCAGCCCCTCGTGGCCTCCTCGTTGCCCTTCGTGGCCCCGTTGCAGCCCTTCGTGGCCCCCTCGCTTTGTTTCGTGGCCCCGTTGCAGCCCTTCGTGGCCCCCTCGCTGCCCTCCGTGGCCCCGTTGCAGCCCTTCGTGGCCCCGTTGCAGCCCTTCGTGGCCACCTCGCTGCCCTTCGTGGCCCCGTTGCAGCCCTTCGTGGCCCCCTCGCTTTGTTTCGTGGCCCCATATATGTATGCCCTTCGTGGCCCCCGCTTGTTCGCGCCCGTGGTGGCCCCATGTGCATGCTCTTCGTGGCCCCGCTCTCGCCCTTCGTGGCCACCTCGCTGCCCTTCGTGTCCCCGTTGCTGCCCACAGTGGCCCCGTCCTTACCCTCCGCGGCCCAACATACGTATGCCCTTCGTGGCCCCCGCTCGTTCGTGCCCGTTGTGGGCCCATGTGCACGCCCTTCGTGGCCCCGATGTCGCCGTATGTGGCCCCCTCATTGTCCTACGTGGCCCAGGTGCTACCCTCAGTGGCCCCATCGTTGCCTTCTGTGGCCCCGCATTATCTGCCTTCGTGGTCCACGCTCGTTCGCGTTCTTCGTGGCCCCATACGCATTCCCTTCGTGTCCCCGCTGTCGCCCTTCGTGGCCTACTTCGTGTCCTTCGTGGCTCTGCTGTCGTTCTCTCTCGCTCTCGCTTTCGCTTGTCGTCGTCGTCGCCGTCGCCGTCGTTGCCGTCGTCGTCGACGTCGTCGCCGTCGTCGTCGTCGTCGTCGTCGTGGTCGGTCCCCTGTCCGTCCCTCTTGGGGTCGGGTCGACGGTCCGCGGCCGCCCCGTCGATCAGCGCTGCCGCTGGCCAGGCCGACGGTCCGCGGCCGCCCCGCCGCTTGCCGGGGCCCGGCCTGCAGGGAAGAAAGGTATACACTCTCGGCGATACTTAAGCAAACCAAAGTTTTCGGCCAGAGTCTCGATTATTCTTAATGTTTCAATGTGAATCCCAAGATTTTAATAGACATTCGGGGTTTTCATTCAGATTCTGAGACTATGAATTTCTTAACCCATGATTTCTAAAGCATTTCGCAGGGTGTACCTCCAGAAGGGGTTCGATCGAAGACGAAAAGGGCGGGTATCGAGGGTTTGGGAAATTCGCGTTGTTCGACAGTCGAGCAGATACGGGCGAACAGTCTTAAAATGATTGTTGTTGTTGTTGTTGTTGTTGTTGTTGTTGTTGTTGTTGTTGTTCGGTAAGGCGTTGACACCGGCCCCGGCTTGTTGTTGATTTTTCTCAAAACCCAAGTGCTTACCCTTAAGGGTGAGCAGAGCTCCAGCAACCGAGGGCTTGCCTCACGGGGCCGGAAAAGGGGTTGGCACTGGGGCGGCAGCGCAAGGTGCCCCACGGGGCCGGAGAACGGGTCGGCATTCCTGTCGCGTTTCCAAGGGTTTCCCCCAGATTCCCGCGAATCCTTTTCAGGATTCTTTTGAATTTCTGAAGACTCCTCCGGACTGTCTAGGATCCTCAAGGATTCCTTAGGACCCCGCAGGATTCCGCGGAATTTTTCAGGAGCCATTCCACGGGACTCCCGAGGATTCCTCAGAATCCTCCAGGATTCCGCAGGCTCCTTCCGGAGTATCCAGGATTTCTCAGGATCCCCCAGGAATTCTTCAGGATCTCCCCATGGGGTTCTCAGGATTCCGTCGGGCTCCTCAGGATTCTTCAGGATATCTTCGAGTTCTTCAGGATCCCCAAGGCTTACTCAGGACAGTTCAGGGTTCACGACGCAAAAGATCTGAGCGCGGTGGGCGCCCCTGCCAGCACGGCGCCCATGGAGCTTTATTACTACCACGAGTACTGCACTACTACTAGTACTAGTACTACTACTACCACTACTACTACTACTACTACTACTACTACTACTACTACTACTACTACTACAACTACTACTACTACTACCACAACAACAACAACAACTACTACTACAACTGCTGCTACTGCTTCTAGTACTATTACTACTACTGCTGCTGCTACTACTACTACTTCAACTGCGACTACGACTACTACTACTACTACTACTACTACTACTACCATTATATTTCTATTACTACTACTACTACTACTCCTATTACTACTCCTACTACTACTACCACCACTACTACTACTACTACTACTACTACTACTACTACTACTACTACTACTACTACCACCACTAACTACTACTACAACTACTACCACCACTACTACTACTACTACTACTACTAGTAGTAGTAGTAGTAGTAGTACTACTACTATTTCTACTACCATTACTACTACTACTACTACTACTACCACCACCACACTACTACTACTACTACTACTACTACTACTACCACGGCTACCACGACTACTACTAGTACTACTACTATTTCTACTACCGTTACTACTACTACTACTACTACTACTACTACTACTACTACTACTACTACTAGTACTATTATTTCTACTACCATTACT